TTCCTCTTTTGGTTCCAAGCAAAATGGCCAAAACACTGGGCAAGAAGCTATATTTCCATCTAATTGGAGCAAAAGAACTCCCCCGCAAGAGATTCTGAGCCAAGGTTTTCAGACTCAAGAAATACACTCAAGAAATTACAGTTATGTTATGTAAATATGGATAAGCTTTAGCTGTCCATCTGACCAATCCAAGTTGTAACTCTGAACCTTTCGAAAGTTGGATTTATATCTTTCTGCAGATGAATTTGAGTGGGGGAAATAAGCTACTAAGAAAAATTACCAAAGCCTTTTCCCCTCACAAATCTATTCAAAATGGATGTCTAGTGAAGTAGTTTGTCTCCTATAGGGGAAAAAATGTATCTGCAAATTGTGGACCCAATTCTACAAGTCATTGAGGGTAAAGGTTTCAAAAGAACCTAAGTAATTAGGAACTGAAATCCCACTTTCAGAAGTGTGTATGGAACCTAAGGCCCTTAAACTCCTAAGTGCCTTAAATCATTTTTGAAAATGGGTTTAGGTTCCGAAGTCACCTATGCACTATTGAAAATTTTATCTTGAATGCTTTTCTGGGAACTGCTTGCCCCTCTCAGATCTCATTGAAGACACTGGGAATTGAGAGTACTTTGCATATCTTAGGAAATAGCACCTTGCAGGACTGGGCCTTCTATTTTGGGACATAAATATTACAGTTAACATAGGGTGTTCTTGTCCTGAGGTAACACTTCATGTTAAAATTGTTTCTTTAGATACTATATATTATAAATGATAACCCACAAATAAACTCATTAGCTGTGCCACAGCCAAATCATGTCAGCCAAAACCCCTCCCAGTACCACAGTTCTGTGGCTTCAGGAGCTGTGAGAAATAATCGTTATTTATACGAAAATGCCCCAAGTAATTGAATAAGCTGTTTTAAAGAGACACTGAACATTTTTTGTCCCTCCACACTCATTCTTTCAACTATAAAATAAGATGTCATCTTCCAGGCATTCAGACAAAAACCCATTGACATTACAAAAGACTAAATTTGGGGATGGAGCTTCTGGCATTCAGTGTTAGTTTGTATTTCTGGAAGAAAAAAAATAGCCCAATATTTTCTCCACATAACCACAGTGACTATCTAATAAGAACCTAATTGATTGATAAACTGTTGGAAACATTTATTTTCATCTGTCTGGTAAAAGCAGTAATCTGTTACCAACTGATCTTCCTTTCCTTCCCCTAAAAAGCAAGCAAACAAGAAACCTATTTTCTACCGTGAGAGTTGGTCATTGTTTTGACCTTTTAACAAAAAGTGAAGATTAATGGCACATGTTCCTAGAGGTTACTCTTTCTGAATTCCATAATATAGTTACTTCCTAAAATACATAGTAGAAAGTTGCATCTCTCATAAAATGGCATCAGAAGTTTATTGGATTTTATCAACATTTAATTTTTAGTTGTTATATCAAAGTTTTGTCCACAAACAACTTTTGTAACCACTCAGATTTGCACCAAGCCTTTTATTGATTTCCAGCCTTTCACAGTAACACTTGCATTAGACTTCCAGGTACAGTTGAGGGGGGAAGGGAGAGTGGGTTCAGATTGTTCTGATCTATAGCAGTCATTTCAAAAATTACATTGAAGTTAGGTACTTCAGTATTTTACACACCTCAATGATGTGTTATAGCAGAGCTCAGGTCTTCCATCAGTAGCAAATTATTATTTCATCAACAGTCCTAGGTAGCTATTTCTTCCAAACTGCACTGATGTCAACTTTGTCATGTATAAGAAAATTCACAAACTTGCTATTAATTTGAACAATACTTGGAAGTGAAATGCAGAGCAATTAGAAAAGTCCAGCTAAAAAAAACCCCAAAACCTGAAAAGCCCAAATATCTGTCTCTTTCAAGGGCTATCCTATTAGCAAAATGTTATAGACTCTACTATGGTTATAAGAGCCAGAGCCATTTAGCTATATATGAAAGCAGGTGTGTCGCTCCATCAGGGGAGTTGGAAGCATTCTTGGAAGACTCCACTCATGTGTAGACTTTCATTCTTCTCAATGCTGCCTCTGGGGCCTAAAATGTTAACCAGTCTCCGCAGGAATGCAGCCATCCAAATGATGGAGTCCTAGATCCTGATCCAAAGCCTATTGCACTCAATGAGAATGTTTTCATTGACTTCAGTGAGGGGTTGGATCAGGCTGTAGGTAGGGAAGGATTCCTTACACCCTTTCCTTCACAGTGATTCTGTGGTAGGTAGCCATAATACCACCCAGACAGCTATTCCATTCATCGGACAGTGCTACAGAGAACGGAGCTCGTAGTTGGCAAATTCTGAAGGCGGAGAAGATAAGTGACATAACAAATGATGTCTTGTATTAATTGTCTTTGACTCATGTTCAGAGCAATTGAAGGTTGTATTCATATTGGTTCTTAATAGGTAAGCTCTTGAGCCATGAAGATAATATCCAGGCTTCCTCCAAACTTTGAGAGGGATTAATTATATCCCATGTTGCCGTCTAGAACAATCAAGTAGAGATGGATCTAGCTTCCCAAAAGTCCAAGGGGGTTAAGATTCAGTGTTACATATCTGTTACCAATTGATCTTCCTTTCCTTCCCCTACTAAGCAAGCAAACAAGAAACCTATTTTCTAATTGAGATGTACCGTGAGAGCTGGTCATTGTTTTGACCTTTTAACAAAAAGTTAAGATTAATGGCACATATTCCTAGAGTTTGCCAAAATGTTTGCAGAAAGTGAAATCCTCACAAATACTAGTACAAATGTATTTTCCTGAAAATTCCTTCCAGAAGTATTCATTTGGTAATCTAGGAAGTTCTTTGGTTACTTTCCTCGTGTTTATGAAGTTTCACCTTATATTATAATTATTGTTATTTGCTTAATTAGAACAGGCAGTGTGGTTTAGTATAGAATAGGGCAGTAAACTGGGAGTCAGGAGCCCTGGATTCTATTCCCGACCTTGCGTTGACCTACTGTGTGACTTTGGGCCAATCATTTCAGTCTCTTCCACTCACGCCTTTTATCTGCTTGTTTATTTAAATTGTAAGCTGGCAAGGCAGGGACCATCTACTATGAGTGTGTAATGCAGCTATCACAATGGGACCCTGATATCAGTTGGAGACTCTAGACGCTACTATAATACAAATAAGTGCTTTACTTCAGAAATTCAGTGACTAGCTTTATTATTCTGGGTGTACAACCCAATACATGTCTTCTGAGATACATGAAGTGCTGAAGCAAAGAAGAGACGACCAGCCCCAGACTAGCAGCACCAACTGGGCCTGGGGCCATGTCCTGGCTGCCCTCCCTCCTCACCCCCACCAGTCAGGACAACTTTCACATATAGAGATCTACCCTTTTTAAGGATGCCTTCCATCATGCACTCCAGGTGATTTGCCTCCCGCATTCCACCTATGGCATAAAAATGTCCAGCGCTCCCCTGTTCACGAATTCCTAGTTCCCATTACACACTCTGGATCATTCACTCCATTTTCTCTTTCTTTCTCTTGCATTTATATAATGCCTTTGATTTCAATGCATTTTACAAACTACGGCCATATTCAGCCCTCAGTTTTTGTACAGAGCTCCCATTGCAACCTCTGAGAGTTTTGTGCATGGATTGAGTGCTACTATATGTCTTTCAAAATAAAGTATGTACAGGAATTGCTTCAGCCTCCATCAAAAATGAGCTACTTCTGGGGTGGAATACAATAGCTAGTGAGCAGCAGACAGCAAAAACACACAATTGTTTAGGGAAGGAAATTTGCAAGGAATAATGTCTGATTTTTTTTTTCTGGTCTGTGATAGACTGAAATTCTCTTTCTGTACAGTGGTTCTCAACCGGGGTCCGTGGCCCTCTGGGGGTCTGTGAGCAGGCATCAGGGGGTCATCCAACAGGGCTGGCATTAGATTTGCTGTGGCCCTGAGCCCCACCATCCGGAACTGATGCTGAAACCTGAGCAAATTAGTTTTGTGGGGCCCCAGGCAGCTGCCCTGCTTGCTACTCCCTAACACTGACTCTGGTTTTTATATGCCGAAAAACAGTTGTTTTGGCACAGGTGGGCCATAGAGTTTTTATAGCATATTGGCGGGGCCTCAGAAAGAAAAAGGTTGAGAACCCCTGCAGTAAAATACATAATACCATTCAATTCATATACAGCAGCTTCATCTTGGAAAATGAGTACCCTTATTTCTTAGGCTGAAAACATTTTTAAAAAAATTAACAAAATCTCTTTTGAGTGTGGTGATGTATTATGGAAAAGGGCATATTTTAATTTTTAAAAGGCAAACTTTTGGAGCTGTGGAGTTAGATCTTCAACTGGCGTAAATTGGCATAATTCCAGTAAATTTATTGTTTCATTGGCAAGCAGCTAAATCATGATTGTAGACATTTAAGTGTGTGTCTTCTTCCAAAGATTAAGTAACACTTGTCTAGTGATCATGTGGTTATATGCACTCCACCAATGTGAAATTGACAGTTATGCATTTGCTACAAAATATGTATTTGATTAGAGGCATACTTGAAGCAGCATTTTGCCTTTGGGTGGAATGAGTAACTACTGGAGCTGTTGGAGTTCAGCAACATAGAAATCTTTCCATGTCCCACCACAATCCCCTTTACCTCTTGCTAGCTTTTTTCCAAGGAGAGAAAATGCAAAGATTTAGCACTACCAATGACAATTCCTGCAAGATCATGTCTAATTTCAAGAGAGCTTGGAAGGGGGCCTAAGAAAGTAGAAATGGTTAGAGGCACATAAACTGTGGAGTAGTTAATGGAGCTTTGACATAAACTCATTTCTGAATCTGTAAAACAAATATAGGCATTAAACACCATCAGATAACCTTGAGATAGGCGCAGAATGACAAGCTAGAAGGAGGGTGAAGACTGGGGGCATTGCTCGCTATAACCAGACCCACTTAAGTTCAGTTGCAAATTAAAAGGACCCCCCCACCCTCCAGAGAGCATGTTATCCCATTCCCTTCCCATCTAGAATACCTTTCTTCCAGCCTCATTGTTGTGCAAGTTCATCAGCCTCCGTGCATTCTTTTTGATTTCTCGGGCATCAACAAACTTCCTGGAGAATTCAATGCCGTATCTGATATCCGCAGAGCAGCCTCCCCATTTCCAGCCCTCCTCCTGGTTGTAGTAGCCCTGTTTCTCTCGGTCACAGCCACAGTTGCTGAGGTTGCCCTGGCTGCAGGCGGCAGTGACAGCATGTGCAACCCCAGCAGCGGTAATGGCATAGGTGAATGCTGCTTCCCTGCTTCCTGTGGAGAGAAACCAACAGCTGATAGGTTTGGAAGAAGGCAGTGCTTACTACAAAGTACATACATTATGTACAGCAATGCATTCATTCAGAAGCAGGAGGGTAGCATTGTCAATAGCCCATACTCTTCCTTCTTAAAAAGTTATGTACATGTTTAAGTGTTTTGCTGCACTGGGGTCTAGTGACCAGCTGCCCACATACCTTGCAGGTCCCAGCCATATAACAGTCCTTTTGCCTATGTTAGATTGAGGTACCTTTGGCAGTGGGTTTGGCCAGTGCGGGCTGCACTATTTGAGGCAAGATAATTTGTTAATTAAAGTATTTCACCAGGATCATAAATGTTGTTTATCTCAGGTTTGTTCACTGAGAGGAGGTCACGGAGGTTGTGCAGATTTCAAGTGGGTTGCAGGCCAGTCATTGCTGGGGATGTTTATAGGAAGAGAAGAGTTACCAGTAATTCCCAGCATGCTGGGAAAGTAGTACCTTGTGAAGGCTTAACAAATACCATGCCCAGTAAGGTGGCGAGTGTGTCGTGACAAGGATAGGACTCAAGTGGAGAAGGCTGTCCATACATCCTTATTAGGATGCAGGTAGAGCTGGTCAGTGATGATAAATACTGATTAAAACCTGAGATGACCATAAGATGTAGATTTTAGAGCAGCGGTTTTTCTGGAGGCTGGATGGTCTTTTGTTTTATGTTTATTGTTGCTCACTTTTATTTACTCTCAATTTTGCCTTAGTAAAGCTGCAGCCTTTCCCCACCAATCCTCTGAATCCAAATTCTGTTGTACCTTGGTGCAGTTTGTTAAGAGTATGGAACTACTGGCATTTCAGAGCACTATATTCATAGTAGATTGATTTCAATAGGGGCTTTTCTAAAGAATACTTTGAAATAGCTGACATGCTGTCGTGCAAATACTGTCTTAATCCTCACAAAGTTTAGTAATGGCTTTTATGGTATCATTACTTGTCCTAATTAGGTGATAATGTCTCTTGAAACTCAATATATGAAAAGATGCCTCATCACTTCAGTGGACACTGAAAAACAAAAATATACAGATGACAAGAGTTAAATTAAAATAACATGAAAATTGCAAGACCTATCTAAGAAAGCAAGGACATCCATGATTTAGAATTCATTAAAATCCCAATACTTAGACAAAACGGTGCCCAGCTGCATCTTGTAACAAGCCTGGAGTGCATGCATCCATCCCTGCAGTACATTTCAAGACCTTGACTGGCAGCTATGTGAGGTGAAAGCATCACGTGACAGCAACCCTGCGATGAGGCTTCCTTTAAGAGAGAGCTGGCCCAGACAGATAAGGGAAACTTGGGGTCAGGAAAGGGACTCTGTACCAGCCAGGTAGAACATCTGGTGGGAGATACTTGCAGGGAGCAGGATCAGAAGACTTGTCTGGGAAAGGTTTTGGGTGAAGCTAGGAAGGAGGCTTGGTTTTGAGAGGACTTAGGGGCTGTGAAATCTAGTTGGAGGAGCAGGTAAGCCTGGGGAAGAGGGCTAGAAGACTTGAGTTGAGCTGAGCTGTTCTGTTTTGTGAAATAAACCAGATTCCAGTAAGTGGATACACTTGAACCATTTGTGTACATTTTGGGGGGAGCTAAGTAGAAACCAAGGTAGAAGGCCTTATAATCAGACCAGGTAAACTGACCCATGCACATATCCCATGGACCGAGTTACACATTGTGTATATGTTGGTCAGAAAATGTGTCAAAGAATTGTGACTGGCACCATTCCAGTATTCAGTGGGTGTGCGGAATGAATGTAATGAAGACAGTGAATGGGGTGTAGCAGGAACACCAAAATGGGAGGGAATGATGCTGAGAGGAACCATGCAGGACTGTGTGATGGGGGAAGGATGGCCAGGCTGTGCAGGCTGGAATGGCAAGGAGGGCGAGGTGCTGGGGAATGCGGGCTGGTTGAGAGAGGGTTGCGGGATGGTGTACAGCCGGATTGGGAAGTTGGGCTGGGGTTTTTCACAGCTGTTTACTTCTCGAATAGGCCCTGATCCAACTCCCATTAAGTCCACCAAAAGACACTCCCTGGGCTTCATTTGGAGTTGGATTAGAACACTTTGTACTGCCCTATTATTGTTTATAACATTTCTTCCTCTGATTTCTCTGTTCACATTCAACAGCAAAACTTCTGCCATCATCATTTTCCTCCTCCTTTGGTGACCAACCCCTATACTGCTACTGCAGAGGAATTCACAGCATGTTACTGAAATGATTTAATGCCCACACACAAAGCTTTGACTGTTACTTTTTGAGAGGCCTAACAGATACAAAGCAAAACAAATCTTCAAGGGGAAAAATAGAAATAATCTCATAAACTGTTTAATTTTCATATTAGGATTTACAACAGTCCTAGCTAGGGTGACCAGATAGCCTGATTTTATAGGGACAGTTCTGATATTTGGGACTTTGTCTTATATAGGTGTCTATTACCCTCCACCCCTGTCCTGATTTTTCAGACTTGCTGTCTGGTCACCCTAGTCCTAGTGGTTCTGAAATAGCACATGCACAGGGCATTTTTTTGTTTGTTCATTCATTTCAATTATTCATAGACAGCTTCCTGAAAGCACCTACAACCCCTGGTGACTTCAATGAAGTATAAGGAGACATAGCAGTGTACATGATGGGGTCCTACATTTGTTTTTGCCCCTTTTAATTATTTGCTCAATGTAATTAACATAAAAGAAAATCGAATGTTTAATTGTGGTGGGTTTAGTTTTTTGGGGTTGTTTTAGGTTTTTTTTTATTGCATTGACAGATTTCTGATACAACATAAAGTAGAGAGAAAATCCTCCCACCACCTGTGTCTAATCTCAGAATATATAAGTATTAGAGAAAGGCATGGGAGCCAAACAAGGAGATCCTAAAATGTAAACCCATCTTTGTGGCTCAAGGCAAGTCAATTCATCTCTCTACCTCAGCTTTCCGATTTGTAACCAGTAGAAAGTAATACGTACCCCACAGGGGAAGAGTTGGGCAAATTTTTTCAATCAAAACTTCTTTTCAGCAAAAAATTCAGGGTTATCTATACCAAAATGTTTTGCTAGTTCATTTTGATTTTGCCAAATTTTTTTCTGTTCTCGGGAAAAAAACATCCAAAGAAATCTAAACATTTTGTTTAGACATTTTTGAAACACACTGTTTGGATTTTTTGTTTGTTTGTTTGAAATTACTTTTTGTTTGAAAATTTTCTTTAGTTTTATTTTAACTAAATTCAAATATATTTTAAAAAATCCCAGAATTTCATTCAACCCAAAACTATTGTTTTACATTTCAACCAAATCTATTTATTTTTGAAAAGGAAGAAGAAAGAAAATGGGCTATTTTTTAACTAGATGTTAGACAAGTTCAGATTTTCCCTATCTTCAAGCGAGAATGAGGCTGTGGATCATTTAGAGATGATGTTTAGCAGTGTCCCAAGCTCCATGGTGATATTTTAGTGATTACTTTTATCATTATTTATTAATTATATTGCGGTAGAACTTAGAGCAGAGGCAGGGGTGCCGAAATAGGAGGGCCAAGGGGCCATAGCCCTCCCACTTTTTGAAAGTGGATGGACCTGGCCCCACCTCTCCTGGCCAGGCTGGCATCA